ACCGGTAAGGACATAGCTGTTACGTTGGCGAGCACTCGCGAAGGGGGGGTCTGGCTGTAATTTTGAAAATTAGACTCGTTTCTTGCATTTTCTGCGATGAGCAGGGGGGTGCTGGACCCCCTGGACCCCCGCCTCCCTCTGTACATGCCCGCTGCACCTGACCTTCATCTGGGACCCTGGTCTCCGCTTATTAGGGGCCTAGCAGGGGAGGGACGGACATGCGGCCCCGTACTATGTATGCGGTCGACGATATTATCTACAGAGGTTTTAATGAAGATGCGTACGGCGCTCCACGTGGGCTGGCGGCGCGGTCTAGATGCTATCTCCAAAACTCCCGCCGCCTGGCGGCGCCTCTTGTTGCTACGGGGCAGTTCTTGGTGCGGTACCGTATGGCATGTCTTTACATCAACCTCTATGACCCGCTCCGCGTGCCCGTGGCCGACGCCGGCACGCTCGTGCGAGCACGGTGGCGTGGGCGTGGCCGTGCCAGTAGTTTACCACGTTAGCTAAATCCTACGTATACTTGCCCCTGCTGCCCCTCCCGCCCCCTCAAGCGCCCCCCCGTAGTCAAGACTGGGAATGTACGCTCTGACCCAAAACATGTCGCTGCACAATGTTTCGCTTCCCGCTGATACGCGATTCGCGCGCCCGCCCTCCATCGGGCGCTGTGCTGAATTTCGTTATAGCGGTGCAGGCGCGAGATCGCTGACATGGTGGTACAGACACCCGCAGGTCGCGTGCGCCAGTCCCGCGGAAGTGCGCGGCTTAAGCCGCTTCTTCGCGCGGGAATCGGTGGGTAACAACGCATCTTTGGCGCGCTTGGATTAACACGTAATATATACATATTTCAGGAGTTAATACAAAGGACAAAGAGTCTGTCTTTATTAACTCTTTGCACTCGATATAATAGTACGGCCAAAAAGACGCGCTATAGATTATTGAAAGATTTTGGTTACGGAAAATTATGCGCCGTGGAAAAAAGGCCGCGGCGAAGTGGGGTCGCGCCCGGTTTCCCGACGCCGCTTTGGCCTTGTCTATACATATATAGAGGATATAGTACGTGCATATTAAACCTGACGATATTGCCCACGATCACTAATTCAAGGCCGCCGTGATATGCTTCAGTTACAACTGATGGTTGGATACACATGGATCTGCATGCTATAGTAGGGCATGGATGCTTCGATATTTCACAGCACAAATGGCTATGGGCGTTTGTGATTTCATTCACGAAATCATATCTACTATCCCAGGGGCGGCAAGACAGCGTTTACAGACAGGGGGATGTTGTAAAACGGTTGGTTTGGTATCAAGACATGTCAGGGGACCTCCCTGATCACTTTCAGGTGGACTACCCTTGAACTGCATTTGCTGCTGCGAAAAATGGTGAAATGTCTTGAATTAGAACCTCTGTTCAACCATTGTGTGTGGTATCATAGTAAAGGGAATTTAAATCTCGTTACAAGGATGCATACCACATTTAATTTGACTATTGGGTGATGATTTGCATAACAATTTTAGCGCCAAAAAAAGATGTGAATTGTTTGACCATGTTTCTTCCCAAATACTGAATTGCCGCCACAAAATTTAACATCATTTCTTTCATATAGTTCAAAATTCTTTCTAGTACAAGAATTGAAACTTTCAGTAAACTGCCATGGTATGGGCAATATTGTGGTAAAAATGACAAGTGTTCATTGCTTTTCGAACAAAAGTTATAAGTGTCCAAAGTTAAACACTTTTGCTATACGTTTAATTTAAGAATGTGTATCAGCTTTGCTTCCTAAATCACCATCCGATGTCTGGACTATATTTAAGCTACTGATATTTACCCACCACTTCGCAGTTGTGGATAATATGCATAGTAACCATTCTGAATCATTGAAACGGTTTTAGGCATACCTATCGACTGCATGGGTCATTTTCTCTGCTGGGTTGTGGATCACACCATCATCGAACATGTGATGTGAAAGCCTTATCATGATATATACCTATTTGTATACTATATATTATAGCAAGTAAAAGGTCACCCACACGAACATCCATGCTAGATAAAAACAAAGTCAAGAGATATAGCGACAATAAGGGTATTTAAAAGGTTATTAATGACGGAGGCTTTCGAGGATTACACCTTACTATTCAGGTCAGCAGACATTGAATAGAATCAAAAATAATCAAAACAAACAATGCGTCAAAAATGGAATTGATTCACACAATTTCGCGCGTTGCCCATGAATAGCCAGCGGACGACATAGTATATATACACGCACAAAAAACACACACAGACAGAGACACACACACAACACGGCGTTGGGCTCCACGAGGTCGTAGGTTGTCGGAAACGTTGCGAGTACTTGCAACTTTTATTCATGAATAAGGTCTGGTGCGCCTCACCGCGGCCTCGCAGTAACTCAGGCAGAATTGTATATACGGGATTCATTTACATGCGTTGTCGAGACTTACTAACCCTCATGTTAGCGCAATTGGAACTTGCTCGCTTTAATTATTGGCCAAAATTTACTATATTGCATGGCGAAACAACGCTCACCTTCCGCGGATAGGTTTGTTGGAACAACCTAAGATTATTCGCGGCTCATTTCCATGGTTTTCCGGTTGCTGACCAAGTTATTAACCGACCGGATCACCCACATGATGACGTCGCGTGTGTGTGGCTGGCCAACGACACCATACTTACAATAGCTCACGTGCGCCAGAATGACCTGAGCTAGAAATTAATTTCTGAGGGTGCGTTGTTTAAAACCAAGGGAACCGGGCATGAACGTAAACTTTAAACTACGTGTGATTTTGAGCTCCGTTTGCTTCGTTGGTTCTGTGTGTTCTCGTGTGTGTGTAGTGGTGGGTCGGATGGTGCGTGCTGTGCGTGCGTTGCGTGCGTGCCGTGTTCTCTTTGTCGTCGCGTATTCATGGCCAACGCGCTACGCGGAATTGTTCTGTTGATCATTTCATTTTTGATATCCTTTAACGGCATTGTATTTGTTTTGATTATTTGATTCTATTCAATGTCTGGCCCGTTGACCTGATGAGCGATGTAATCTCGAAAGCTCGCCAATTAAACTTTAAACACCCTTATTCTATACCTTGACTTTCTTTATATATATATATATATATATATATGTGAGTGTATGTACATATATACACTTACCTATTTCCGTCTCTGCGTGCATGTCCATTCCTCCCAAATGATTTGTGTGATGAGGTATCGGCTCATGGACCGGGCTAAGTCTTATATCAAGAGTGTATCAAGAATCTCTTGCTTGTATCTGTTTATATGCTCATTGAACCTTGAACGACCCTGACTGGATAAGTTCCCTTATCAGAAACCACACAAGAGCGATTTATGGTGTTTAAACAAGAAGTGCAGGTGTTGTTTTTTATGTTTATGTCTGAAAGATAGTATTTTGCCAATGGTGTAAGGGAGAATAATCTGTAAAAGTGACTCGTGAAGAAATTAGAAGAATAAAAAGAGAAGGAATTAACACCCAAGGATGCCAGATTGGATAAATAAAAAAATTGCCTTATTGACTGACCTTGGCTGACTACATGTTCACAAATACTGTCACTATGTGATGCGTTATTTGAGAAACACTTTTCTATTTATCTATATATCTATCTGTATCAGCAAATTTCCCCAGTAATTTCAGAAGCCACGTTGTTTATGGACAGGGGAGGACCCAAGAAGTGGTCATATCGATCGGAGTTATAATTACACGTGTCATAAGTGGTCCAACACACGGGTATACTCGAATAGTCTATAGACATATATACATCAGGAGTAGATAATAGGAAAGGAGTGTGACTTCAATAAACAAGGGAAATTCGTCATTTACTAGCCTTAGAATACTTACGATTTACTACGCGTAACTCAACCAACTTGAGCTCAAATCGTACACAGTACATTCGCCTATATAGCATCGTGCGAAATCGTTTCCTCGTATACACCAGCAATCTGGAGATACAGACTAAAACGTACGTACGACACGATTATCCATTCTTTGGCCATCAATCCGAACGTATTCCCCGCCGAACTTGAAACAAAAGGCAGCTACTAACGCACTCTTGCTCACTCGGCAAGGCGGTGTGGCTCGCTGGGAGATTGGAGCTGGAGCTGCTGCTGATTGCGGTAGGCGTGCGTGCGTGCGGGGCATACCAGCTGTATGCCGGTATGCCGGTATGTAGCTGTATGCCGGGTCAAAGGTTATCTCGCCGAGTGTTGCGTCGATGTCCAATCTCCCAGCGAGCCATACCACCTCGCCGAGTGAGCAAGAGTGCGTTAGTAGCTGCCTTTTGTTTCGAGTTCGGCGGGGAATACGTTTGGATTGATGGCCAAAGAATGGATAATCGTGTCGTACGGTTTAGTCTGTATCTCCGGATTGCTGGTGTATACGAGTAAACGATTTCGCACGATGCTAGGCAAATGTACTATGTACGATTTGAGCTCAAGTTGGTTGAGTTACGCGTAGTAAATCATAGGTATTCTAAGGCTAGTAAATGACGAATTTTCCCTTGTTTATTGAAGTCACACTCCTTCCCTATTATCTACTCCTGATATACATACATGTATATAGTCTGGAGGATACTAGGAGAATTTATATGATGATGGATATTAGCTTCACCTTTGAAGGCATTTCACATCCAACAGGTCTGGGGAGAACCCTAAAATGGATGGATGGATGGATAGATATATATAGATAGCGAGATAAGTGGATAGATAGACTTTAGTGGTGATAACCCACACTGTACTGTGTAGGTATACACATCATTCATAAAGGTAAGAATATTTAAGTTTATAATATCGTTATTGATTTACTGTTATTTCTGATAAACGGTAATTTTAGTGATGAAATTTCCTCCCAGACCGCTATTGTAAAACGCGATAGCATTAGGTATTACATAAATGTGCCCTGTTTCATACGTTTTCATGATACAGCTATAAGAAGGCACATTTTTTAGGCAAGTATGAAGAATACTAAAGTAGAAAATATGATAACTTATGCACAAGAGTGTGCAATTCATTCACATTTATTTTTCTTTACAGTTTACACGTAATCAAGTAACATATTTTTGTAGTAAACCAAGTGCCATACAAAGACTTAATTATCATTCATCTCATAATCATAGATACATATAAGTTATGCAGGGTCAGTTTATTGCAGCTTATATTTTGTCACATAGATAATACATGGAAATTATCTGTCATCATCGGAAAACGTAACTGCCAAAGATTTTAATTTAGGTTTAATTAGGCGATGCTTTTCTGTGGTTGTTTGATGGGGACTTTGGTTGATGTATTTTATGTATCCATTTTACTTTCAGTAGCAGCTAAATATATACTGATACATGCGGTAACATGTAGTCACTTAATTACCTATGTGTTATTTACCTATGTAGTACAAACGTACATAGCTTTTTACCTGTTGTTATTGATACGCTCGTGTAAGTTTAACCAGAGGTTATAACTATTAGCAGTGCGTTTCTTCAACAGTAAGTTATTGGAGAGAAAAGTGCTCATCTCAAATGACATTCCTTTCTCAAAATGGCTGGATAATGATCTGTGCTGCTACAGCACTACACCTAGAGTAAGAGTCGTGACGTGTTCACTACTCTTAGCTCGTGTAGAATGTGCAGTAATTCTGTATGTGTGATAACGTGCTACTAGTCGCCACTGAAGAGTCTGTGTTTTATAAAGTTCTCTTTTATAAATATCCAAAAACGGATGTTTATTCTACTTTTAACAGCAGGCTGTTTGATGTTTTTGGGCGAATGGGTGTGCAGGGCCATAGCTAGTGAGGAGGAACATTCCACAACCGCCATTCCAATGTAGATGCCATTATACACATTGATGTGCTGATGTGCTGATGGCTACAGTCAGCTGCCAAGCACACAAAGCGCACATATATATGGCTTTGTTCCCCCTTCCCCCTGGGAAAAACGAGTTAGCTACGTCCTGAGTATGTGGCATGAAATTGACAAACTGTATTGTCCTGCTGTGTGTAATATCTGTATAAAGCGCTGGTCTTAGAATGCCATCGCTAAAGGTAGATGAAGATGAAAGATTATACGAATACGTGCCATTTTTTGCTGCTACTGTGTGTGTTCGTGGCAAGTGCATTGCATGCCCATATATGCATACCCTGTATGCACAACCTACGTATACTGTAGTAACCAATGAAATATAATATAAATGTAAAAAATTAAAAAAATTATTGCAGCTAGGATACTGTATCGATGAAATTTCGAATGAGTTTAGTTGAATAGGTGAACTTTTCATGGCTATAAGTGGGATGTGTGTGTCTATGGTTTGAACATCTCCACCCAAACTACGCCTATTGTTGTAGTATTTCTTCTTTTGTACTCTGATAATGAAACATAGCTTGGTTAATGGTGCAACAACTGTAAAGCAAGTATGAAGTAAATCTGTTACAGTTACAACTGTATTGAATGTTATACAAAGTAATGTACGTATATGCATGTACACATTGGTGGTATTAAAAATGACTAGCAATGTATATGACTATTTCTGTTACAAAATGCAACTGCAGATAACTTATTTCTGTACAAGATGTTGGCAAGATAGCATGATTAATAATGAATTACTGCATAGCCTAATCCCAAAATAACAGTTTCTTCCTATTCCGGATGCTTTTACTCTACAAAGCCAAGACCATCACCTCGCTCATTATACATCTTTATAATCATGCATGTGTCATTACTGTGTACACACATAGCAACGTACTGATAATGTGCTCATGACTGAATAGAAGTTGCTGCTCGAGTGTTTCTGAGTCATTTCCAACATATCTAGTAAGCAGACTCGACAGCTATCATTGATGCAAACCGCTTGTAGTCAATGTTTCCAGTTTCAGCATCGGCCATAGCTGACAAAGTCTCTTCCATTTCTTCCTGTGAGAAGGGCTCCCCTTTTGAAAGAAGGCAAGGAGAACATTGCTTTTTAATCTTATATTACACACAAGCAGAAAAATTTGAAGGATTTGCTAAGTTATGTTTTTAGATCTATCAATTTATGTGTGCACACGTCAGCACGTGTTACCACCCCATAGCAAACACCTACCCTCAACTCTGATAAATTGCATAAATTCTTCAGAAGATAAATATCCCTTGTTGTCCATATCCAGAACTTGGAATGCCTTCAACAGTACTTCTTCAGGAGCTGGCTTAAACCTTAACAATAAGGAATCGTTAATACGTGAGACTTCTAATCATGCAGTTGTAACCATAACATAATTGTAGATAGAAAACATTTACTTAAACTGCCTCAGGTTACACAAAACTCAATATATAAATTATTGTCTCTTGTAAACTCCAATGAATATCCTATTGTGCAATTGAATTGCTGAGTGAAACTTAAACTGAAAATTCAAAGACAAAGTGAAAATTTCTGAGTGAAACTGATCTTTGAAGATCTTGCTTGCCAGGTGCAATTTTATGTCCCTTGTTAGTTTTCCAAAGCTGTCGTAAATTCTGTGTGCTAGAATTAATTGCTACATCTGCCAACCAACAAGATAATGATAGATGTGGCATATACAGGATAGTTTCTCACTTGTCCTCTTGAAGAATACGAGTCATAACAGGTAGGAATCGATCGTATCTCACATATCCTGTAGATTCTTCATCTTCAATCTGAAACCATCTAACATTTACATGTTGCTACTAAAGTCAAGCTACGTAGAAAATATTTTTACCATTTGCGTTAACAATGGCAACACATATATATATATATTTATTTATATATATCATAGCCATTTTAAAGCAGAGGTTGACCTTGCTGTGGTCTACTCATTCCTAGAAGTGCACATGTATGTGAGATATGGCCTACAAATTACCTCAAATAGCATATCCTGTAAGTCACCCTCCCTGGGGCAACAGTTGAGAGACCTCATTATTGTACCAATTTCTCTTAAAAAATAAACCATAACAAAAAACAATTAGAAGCCTGCTTGTGTAATCATATTTATATGATTAAAAACAATTTTCCCAAATGTTTACCATATTCGTCAAAATCACAAACTGCACGCTACACGTGGATGCCATGGCATGTACAGTCAGGGAATGGTAACTTTTGAGTAGTACTGCCCAATTCATGAATTCAACAATTGGCTATATAGTAGAAAACTAAATTTTAGAAATCAGGACCGGCTGGGTTCACTTATTTCCAGTGCAGATGTTATATTCCAGTAAAACTGAACACACAAATGTCATTGTAGACTTTATATGTAGATTAGGGATAAGTATAATCAATGACGAAGTAAATAGTTATAATATAAATCATACTGAACTTCATTACCTGATATCAACAGTATCATTTTCGTCATGGTCAAACACATGAAATGCCGCCCAAATTTTCGCCTGAAGAGCTAGTAATTGCACCTCTGTAAAACAGCAGTAATATGAGCAATAATATATGCAATAAACCACTGCATTGGAAGGAGATAGCTTGGTAAATGTGTACTGACACCATTAAAACTGTCTAATCACTTCCATAAGGTGTGTAAAAGTTGTGTTAAATTATAGTAGACACACATATATGTGACATCTGGACGGCCAGCCCTGACACGAAGCACCCGGCCATCTCTTTCACACAAAATTGCTCACACCCCCAGAGAAATGTAGATACATTACATGGTCACTGGCGGTCACCTTCCTAGAACACACCATGGGCGTGGCCTTGCCCCCCCCCTACCTTCGCAAAGGGGTTAGCTATACGCTATAACGTGCTAACCTAGCCCGGTTGAGTATTTTGAGTCTGTACGCTGCGATGTAGCACACGTCTGGCCCGGGCCAGGCCTGGCTATAGTTTGATGTAGGATATAAATTTTGCAGTCTGTATAGCATACAATAATACATGGTAATATAATTAATTGGTATCACTGACACGGTGAGTGGGGCTGCCAGGGTCTATGTCTCCCTGGGTACTGCCGGAACGTACCCCGAGTACGGTCCGGTATACCGGAACGTATACTCTGGTACTATCTAATATGCCGGACCGTACCTCGCCTACTCCACTAACGAATCTAGGGAGTCGCCTACGACTACTCCCTAACCCTATCAGATAGTTACCAGGGTACGTTCCGGTATACCGGACCGTACCTAGGGTACGTTCCGGCAGTACCCTGGGGGACATAGTCATAGACCCTATCAGTATCAGCGTGAGTGGGGTGTATCGCGCTAGAAATTATGGCCCAAGGATAGAGAACATGGGTCCCAATAACACCAATGTGCCTATAACCCTAACCCTAATTCTAACCCTAACCCTAACCATAACCCTAACCTATTATATTGATATAATATTATGTTTATATTGATGTAAATGACATTGGTTTTATTGGGACCCATGTTCTCTATCCTTGAACCGAAATGGCCCGACAACACTCAAGAAGACCTCTGTTCATTTTTAAGAGTGTACCCCCACATTAACAAGAGTAACGATATGGGCGTTTAAACGCTACTCTGAGCAACGTTCCGACGTGCGTCCTTATATAAATTAACCATATCCCGACTCAAAATTTTACCCAAGGCAAGGGGAATTTTACCCAAAATTTTGACTGCAGCGAGCAGAATCACGCACATTCTGCATTTGAATCTTATATTATATATAGTTATACTAATAATACGCACATATGTAGGACTACACGTTTAATATTGATACCTGGGCCACCCGGACCTGCTGGACCTACGTCTCCATCTCTAAATGTTTCCTGCATTACTCGTTTATGTTATCAACAAATGTAATGCTTTCTTTGACTCTGGTATGTTGTTTACCCGTTGCCTACGCGAACTGAGTAGCGACTCGAGAGACACCTATCATAAATAAATGATAGACTGGTTGAGTCTGGAGCACACTGACAAGAACATAGATGGGTACTCTTTTTCTTCAATATAGTAATTGATAAGGAGTAAGACGGTAGTATACTCGTCTATTTACATGCCATCGAGTAGCTAGACTGGTACCGGGTCAACAGTTCCACACGCTACACTAAGTAGGATACTTGCTGGAGTGAAGGGGGCGAACGCGTACCAGTCTATCGAGTAGCGACAGTGCTGCGACGCCAATCGAAGGAAAACGCGTTTCAATTTTATGATTTTATCCATCAGTAAATCATGCGTATCTAGAACGATAAACAGTTGTAGTAATATTTCGAATGTTTACGTGAAAACATTAGCGTTTTGTGATACTGTCCATAAAAATATTAAAATGAGTAAGTGTAAATCCTCGCATGGAAATGGGCAGTCGAATAACTAACCCTAACCCTAACCATAACCCTAACCTATTATATTGATATAATATTATGTTTATATTGATGTAAATGACATTGGTTTTATTGGGACCCATGTTCTCTATCCTTGAACCGAAATGGCCCGACAACACTCAAGAAGACCTCTGTTCATTTTTAAGAGTATACCCCCACATTAACAAGAGTAACGATATGGGCGTTTAAACGCTACTCTGAGCAACGTTCCGACGTGCGTCCTTATATAAATTAACCATATCCCGACTCAAAATTTTACCCAAGGCAAGGGGAATTTTACCCAAAATTTTGACTGCAGCGAGCAGAATCACGCACATTCTGCATTTGAATCTTATATTATATATAGTTATACTAATAATACGCACATATGTAGGACTACACGTTTAATATTGATACCTGGGCCACCCGGACCTGCTGGACCTACGTCTCCATCTCTAAATGTTTCCTGCATTACTCGTTTATGTTATCAACAAATGTAATGCTTTCTTTGACTCTGGTATGTTGTTTACCCGTTGCCTACGCGAACTGAGTAGCGACTCGAGAGACACCTATCATAAATAAATGATAGACTGGTTGAGTCTGGAGCACACTGACAAGAACATAGATGGGTACTCTTTTTCTTCAATATAGTAATTGATAAGGAGTAAGACGGTAGTATACTCGTCTATTTACATGCCATCGAGTAGCTAGACTGGTACCGGGTCAACAGTTCCACACGCTACACTAAGTAGGATACTTGCTGGAGTGAAGGGGGCGAACGCGTACCAGTCTATCGAGTAGCGACAGTGCTGCGACGCCAATCGAAGGAAAACGCGTTTCAATTTTATGATTTTATCCATCAGTAAATCATGCGTATCTAGAACGATAAACAGTTGTAGTAATATTTCGAATGTTTACGTGAAAACATTAGCGTTTTGTGATACTGTCCATAAAAATATTAAAATGAGTAAGTGTAAATCCTCGCATGGAAATGGGCAGTCGAATAGTAAAAAATCCAAAGTGCCATTCTCTTTACGCACATTTTTGGCAGGTGAATTGGACTCGAGCAATCTAGTTCAAAAACCACCAGATGACAAGAAAACCTACAGGTACACCGTACAGGCTAGGGCGTTAAGACGATATACGTAGACCTTCAACCAGTTAAACCAAACTCACACGAGTGTGGCATTACTGACCGCTCAACTTGAACCTAGTTAAATTGATGCATGTTGACACTGCTGAGTGGATTTATTAATATGTTGCGCAATCTTAATCCCGATCTGCGCTATTTCAACATCGCGCTGCACATTCTTAAGATCGCGCAGCGCAATCTTCCGATCGGCAGACTGCGTGGCAATCTCGAGATTGCGCTGCGCGATCTCCCGATCAGCAGCTAGCATCCTTGCCTGTGGAGCCACAGGCACTTGGAGCGTTTCAATAAAATGTAATGCTAAATAAATACGAAATCTATTTACTACCAAAGTCTTAATGTTTCTATACTCTCTTTCACCTATTATTGTCGACAATTTCCTGTAAATGCCGTTCGAATGCTCATCTGCAACAAACACTGGCTGCAGCCATGGCTGCCGCTGCACACTGACACATAAATATATAATATAGCAGGTAGGAAAGCGTGCTGCGAAAATTTGCTCGACACTCTCTTGATTTCATACGAATACTATACAAATATTCAACCATTCTACTTCATCTTTGTTTCTATTTGATGAAGGACAGTGTTCACTTGTTATAAAAACATACTGTCTGTGTTCGTGACCGAGCTGTGTCACGCGAAATCACAAAGCCTGACAAAATGTTTGCGTTTGCTCCCGTTGCGCAGTTTATGGAAATGGCTGCAAGTACAGGGCTATAGGTGGCGCACTGCATTTTGGGAAACTACCACGCTGCTTTCCAACTCCCGTACGAGCCTCGTCAAAGCCGCCAGTGGAGCATTGCAAAAACGTTGCAGCGTTGCGGCGCAAAAATAAGGTCACGAAGAGCGCCGGTGGGTGTTTCCTGATTCCGACAGCTATTTACATAAACTGCGCAATGGGAGCGATTGCGAGAATTTTGTCAGGCTTTGTGCGATTTCGTGTGACACAGCTCGGTTACGAACACAGCTCGGTTACGAACACAGCCAGTATGTTTTTATAACAAGTGAACACTGTCCTTCATCAAATAGAAACAAAGATGGAGTAGAATGGTTGAATATATGTGTTGTATTCGTGTGAAATCAAGCGCGCGTCAAGCAAATTTTGGCAGCACGCTTTCCTACCTGCTATATATTTATGTGTCAGTGTGCAGCGGCAGCCAGCGTTTGTTGCAGATGAGCATTTGGACGGCATTTACAGGAAATTGTCGGCAATAATAGGTGAAAGTGAGTATAGAAACATTGAGACTTTGGTAGTATATAGATTTCGTATTTATTTAGCATTATATTTTATTGAAACGCTCCAAGTGCCTGTTAAAATATAATGCTAAATAAATACAAAATCTATTTACTACCAAAGTCTTATCATGTTTCTCTACTCTCTTTCACCTATTATTGCCGACAATTTCCTGCACAGTAACACATAAATATATAGTGTCATACGTGCATAACTATATATTTATGTATCAGTGTGCAGCAGCTAGCATGCGGCAGCCAGCGTGTGTTGCAGATGAGCATTTGGACTGCATTTACAGGAAATTGTCGGCAATAATAGGTGAAAGAGAGTCGAGAAACGTTAAAACTTTGGTAGTAAATAGATTTCGTATTTATTTAGTATTATATTTTATTAAAACGCTCCAAGTGTCTGTGTGTGGAGCCTTGCGCAATCTCGCAATTTCAAGAATGCACAGCGCAATCTTAATTAAGATTGCACGGATCGGAAGATTGCGCGGAACAAATATATTTTATTTCTTGTAATTGTGTAGTTCTAGTTGACATTGAAACTTTTCAGAGCACTGACATTGGCAAATGGATTGCATGCTCTGCTTATATCGGACCTCCATGGCTACAACACTACCTCATCTAATGATGAAGAGTCACACGTAACTGCAGTTGTGACTAGTCAAGATGAACATGATGAGGAGGAGATGGATGGATCCGAGGGTTCAGTTGGTGATGGTGAGGACGAATCTGAAGGAGAGGATGAAGCTATGGATGCAGAGGTTAGCATTGCCTATAGACTACACGGGGCCAGCAGGGCCGGATCTAGCTTTCAGGAGACAGAGGGTGGGTGATATTTGAGTGAAGGCTTGGGTGCTAGGGTGGCACCATTTTACTAGTATCATAACATCAGAAGTGAATAATAATAGGTTATCTATATTAGCAATGTATTGATAATCTATTATTATTCACTCCTGATAACATTACAATGTCAGTAAGTATATAGTCAGTAGCTGAATGGGGGGGGGGGGCAACCTCCCCCAACCCCCCTGTAGATCCGCCACTGGCCAGTACAGATTCACAACGTGGCGCTGAGTAATGAATAACACATAGGGATTCATATGAAGTTCGAATGCCTATGTTTATTATTAATAGTAATTTTTACAGCTGTAGTACTCAGACATGTAGGTGTTTCACATTTGCCAATATTATTTTTGAATTAGGGCTCTGTAAGTAGCGGAGAAGACTTGGATGGATCCAAAGATGAGTCGGGTGATGATAGGGAAGAAGATAAAGAAGATGATGACAATGAGGGTGATGGTAGCGGTCATGATGATGATGGTGATGGTGGTGTAACCCGCAAGCCCAAAAAGCTAACTGGAAAAAAGAAAATGGTATGTTGCTGTGATAACTTACTGCCTAATTCTTACCTGCTATTTAAAAGGTATAGTAATGCATTACCTTCATATGGTATTAAATGTGCTATTTTCCATTTTAAAGTTTGAAAAATGCAATAAAAGTTGTATTGCAGGTAAGTAAAGGTCTTTGCTTACTTACCGATGTTAGCATGTGTATTTCCATTGTGTTGGGAGTTTATTGCGATATTTTGTTGATAACAATGCATTGAATGCAATCAAGAGCTACTAAATACCTAGAGTGTACAACGTGAAAACGGGAAAATAGTGCTATTTCACGGCAATATTATTCTACTTTGTATGCGGTTCTAGACTAAGTTCATGGTATTGCGTTAAGCAGCATTCGTTGCTTTCTAAAATAAGACCAACCGCTTGTCTCTACGATACTCCTATATGCCGAGATATTGGAGCGTAATCATGCCTCCCTCAGGCCTCATGACGCCTCGCATCCACAATATTCACTATCCTTCTCGCCTTTTGCGGGTCTGGCTATCATTTTCCGTCGCCGCTTGGAGCGCTGATAATTGATGTCACATGCCCAAATTTGGTACTCTTACTACACCATATATAGTAACTGAGCTGCGTTGAAGAGACTTAATTTAGAAAACATTGCCGGCTCCATCATGATGGGCATTAGCCGTGCTAGGAAAGATAATGGGAGATGCCCCCGAAAGTCACCGATGGTTACCGAAACGCCGTTCATTCATAAAATTATCGCGGAAAAACCGAACTCTCACGAAGCGACTTTCCTAAGGATAGTGAATATTGTGGATGCGAAGCGCCGTGAGGCCTGTGGGAGGGGAAGTTTACGAGCCAATATCTCAGCCTATAGAAGTATCATATTGACAAGCGGTTGGTCTTGTTTTAGAGAGCAAAGAATTCTGCTTAATGCAATACCATAAAATTATTCTACACTTGCAGGCAAAGTAGAATAATATTGCCATTAAATAGCACTATTTTCCCGTTTTCCCGTTGTACACTCTAGGTATTTATTAGCTCTTGATGCAATGTATAGCTGAGTGTACTCTAAAATTTTCAGAGTGCTGCTGCTTTGGCTGTAGGTGTTGGAAGTTTTGCGGATCCTTCGGATATACCTGGCCTGGCCCATTTCCTTGAGCACAGTAAGCATTACATGGGCACACAGTTGTCTAACCTTTGAATAGGAGGCAAGAATGTTTAGCACCTAATTAATAGTGCTATACCTATGTTATAGTGCAGACTGACCTGCTGTATTTCAAGCGTATTATTATTATCTTTATTAGTATTTAGTAGCTCAGCTGACGAAGTAAGATACAGCTTGTAGAATCGCATGATTGTCCGTCCGTGCGTCTGTGCGTGCGTGCGTGCGTCCGTCCGTCTTTCAGTCAACAGTTGGGCACAAATCTTAACCGCTCGACGTACGGTGTTGATATTCGGGACGTCGGGGAGGACTCGGGATATCGAATTTGGGGGTCAATGGTCAAAGGTCAAAATGGGTCATTGAAGGGGGAATATATTCCCCTTAACTTAAGGTATAGGAGGAAATACGGAATTGTGGCACAAATCTCAACGGCTCGCTCTATGCTCTTAATATTCAATGTATAGTGTGATGGGGAGGAAATCCATCACCAGCGCGAAATTGGAGGTCACAGGTCAAAGGGCAGTGGGGGAAAGGTCAGATATCAGACATTTTCTGAGGACATGGTCTAATGGACCGAGTGCAAAACTTTTTTGTTTTAGTGCTGACTTACCGTTTTTATCACTTTATTGAAAGGACCATGAAATCTACTTTCCGCTGACAGTAAGTGTCTGATAACCTTTTGATCCTCAAGAGGAGGGTTAAACATGGATTTGTTGACTCTTAACAAAGGACTTATAACTGCTTTTGCTATTAGAGTCCCCCTCCACCTGCCTCTCCCCCCCCCCTCCCCCACCACCACCACTACGCTCGCGCTCGACGCATATCCATGATAACATGTTAATATAGAGAAGTCATTAAAGTTACGCAGCTGTATCTTTATTACTGTACTACCACTACCAGTAGGTATAGCAAAGCCTATCATAGATTTTAGATCTGTATTAGTAGTATCCTAGATATATACTTTGAGCGCGAACACGGTGGCAGGAGGGCGCACTTGATGTGGTTGCCAGTGAGTTTATCAGAAGAATACCTGGCTACAGTACGCATCCGTTGAGCGCTGTCGCGCTGCGGCACTTGTTTTGTTGTTAGTTTTATTTGTTTCTAGTTAATATTGACCTGTACATTCTGACTTTCTGGTCCATGCATACTGTTACACAGGAGAATCTGTGCAAGTTATTACGTTAACAGTTCCCGTTTTTTTTAACATATTAAGTGGTGTTCATGGGAAGCCAAAAATATCCAGATGAGAACGCCTTTGACGCTTTCATAATGGGGTATGGAGGAACTAACTGTGGATCTACAGACTGTGAGATGGTAATATACCATCGCTTTTTGGTATCAAATTATTGTCTGTTATAACAGCTCATAAAACACTACGTTTTAGTTCGAGTGAATTTCTATGAAACAATTTAAGTAGCATCTTTGCATGGAGGTGTGTATATATGCATAATTATTTGATTGTGTGGCCATTTCATTTGTTGTTGTTTTTATCATGAAAACCATGTGATATCGAGTGGTGACTGGATTTCACTTTGCTGAATATCTTTACGTGTAACCTGAGTGCTTGCATGGCTGTCTTGCAGACTGTATTTGAGTTTGAAGTTCAGCAGCAGTCGTTCAAAGAAGGGCTTGACAGGTTTGCTCAATTCTTCACCCACCCTCTTCTCAAGCAGGACGCTACTGACAGAGAGGTGCAAGCTGTGCACAGTGGTAAGTACTCTTGTCAGTCAAACAGATGTCTTGCTTTGTATGAAAATCGTCTCCCAACTGTTGTGTCCATGTACCTTTCACCACTATAGAGATGAGTGTCTAATTATTACACACACGCACGCACACACACGCACGCACACACACACACACACACAAACAGCTACTCAGTGGAACAAACCATGCAGCTTTATTATAGTATGACGGGCATAGAAGCCAAACAGCAAAACAAAGCTGGGGAGGGGCACGTGACCGGCGAGCGCGAGCGCCATCTACCAGGCTACATCCGCAGCATGCTAAAGTAGTCTAACTATGCCACTGCAGTGCTGGCGTGACTGCCTTATTAAATTGAGAATGTGATGTAGTATACTTGATGTATGCAAGTAGTGTTTAGCTACGCAACATATATGTGATCAAGTACAAACTAGTTTTAATTTAGACCATTACTTAAAAACTACAATTAATTAAAACCATTACAAGTGAAAAAAAATCATCCTAAAAAGATTGATACCAAGGATTTGGTGCCCATAAAATATTATTAGTTGACTGTCATGCATAGGTGTTACTGTTGGAGGATATCTACATGGTGGTACTATATATGCTAGTATATATGGTAATATAATCATACTATTTGATATTTTTTAACACGGCTTTCTATTTTAGTCAGTCCATCGATAATATATTCTCAGTATAATGTATATATCTATGTAAATGGAATGATATTTACAGAGTTTCAGAGCAGCACAAATAATGACACAAACAGAATGGAACAGCTTCTTGGGTCTATGACTAAACCGGATCACCCACTCGGAAAGTTTATGTGGGGTATGACACATTTCATATGCCTTATATTTGCATTAAAATTGTCACACTTTTTTATACATACTTAAATAATATATAGAGTTATGGTAGTAATTGCTGTATTGTACAGGACTGAAGCTTTCAAGCTCTCATTTTCCCCCTAATGATCTGATTTATTGATTGTGAATTTTTTTATTGCAAGTATATGTATACTAAATATCAATGTATGTTTTAGTGGGTGCATTGATTCAGTGCGGTCTGAATCACCTCATACTCGTGTTTTTCAACAATACACATTGTTAGGTAATGAACAATCTCTGATATCAACACCAGCTGCAGAAGGTATTGATGTCTATGCCAGACTGAGAGAGTTCCATTCAAGATGGTATTCGGCCCAGTACATGACCTTGGTTGTACAATCACAGGGTATGTTATATTTTGTTTTTAGCTCATCTGACGTAGTCAGATGCAGCTTGTAGAATCGCATGATCGTCCGTGCGTCCGTCAACAGTTTTGGGCACAAATCTTAACCGCTCGACGTACGGTCACGATATTCGGAACGTCGGGGGGGGGGGGGACTCAGGATGACAAATTTGGGGGTCAAAGGTCAAGACGTGTAAACGGAGAGGGAATATTGCTCCCTTAAGTTAAGGTATAGGAGGAAATATGGAATTGCGGCACAAATCTCAACGGCTCGACCTATGCTCTTAATATTCAGTGTATAGTGTGATGGGCAGGAAACCCATCACCAGTGTGAAATTGGAGGTCACAGGTCAAAGGGCAGTGGGGTAAGGTCAGATATCAGACATTTTCTGAGGACATGGCCTAATGGACAGAGTGAAAAACTTTTTTGTTTCAGCGCTGACCTACCATTTTTATCACTTTATTGAAAGGACTATGAAATGTGCTTTCCACTGACGTGCGAAGATTAAGTGTCTGATAACCTTTTGACCCTCAAGAGGAGGGTTAAGCATGGATTCCTGAACTATCTCAATGATGTCACAGTGTTCTCATACTCATGGCACATCCATAATTTAGAAAGCCAATAAGCCTGGATAGCCGAACGCCTACACCGCAGGCATCACGGCTCAAAGGTCGTTGGATCGAATCCCGTCAGATTTTTTATTATTTACCTGTTTTCTGTATCTTTATTTATTTAACTATTATTCCAATTAACGCAAATATTTACATTATTTATTTACAACAATTTAATAACAACAAATAACTTTTACAACAATTGATTTTTTTTAATTTTTTAATTGGGTTAGGGTAAGGGTCACAATGCACCATAAAACAGGAGTTTCAGGCACGCGATTTGTATCAACCAATGGGATTTGGGAGGTATGCAGAATGCAGAAGGTTGCTGAAATGATGTGTACGCAACTGCGTATCTGCATATCTGCGCCTAACAAAGGTGTCACTACGCACAACTTAAATGTTACGTTTATAATCGTTGCAACAGACCTCAGATGAGACCAGACGCTCTGCGGCTCTTGTTACAAAATAAAAATGGAAAAAAATGGGCACAAATTTCACTGGGTTTATAACTTTAAATTACAGAGATAGGCGTATCCATTCTGTGAGGTAGTTTCACTGTATAATTGACTTTGTGAGGTAAACACAAAATGTACCCTTCATAGGCGAGTGTTTCTCCTACAGACAGACATATCCACTAACATTGGTTTTACACTATCTTGCACATGTAGAGACATTGGATACCTTGGAGACATGGGTTAGGGAGATTTTCTCATCAATTCCTAATAAGTAGGTAGTATATATAGACCTATAACTATAGTTACCTAGATTTTGAAATTAATTTCTCATGTGACAATTTTGTACATATATAACATTGTATAATTCAGGTTATTATATCATTTATTTAAGTTAATACATGTTCTTTTTGTTTTGCTAGTGGACTGCCAGCACCTATCTATCATCATCTTCAGGTAGGAGTTTTGATTTACACAATTTTAAAGTAAGGAATTTGAACTTCTCGACTTATTTTCCCGACCATTACAATACTTATTGCTCACGTAAGATCAAGTGTCATGTAAGGCCAACATGTCTTTGAACACTCGTGCATCGGTACTTTCACTGGTACATATGTTTTTTTTTTAGGATCCGTTTGATACAGAGAAACACAGAAAATTATACAAGGGTAAATTACTTCAACTTGCATGTTTTTTTGCATGCTATTAGCTATCATGTTTATAGATGTGTGCGCTTTTTTTTAAATACTGAAATTACAAGGTAGATATGTTATTTTCCTCCAAACTTAAAGCTTGCACACAGAAGAAGTGCAGTCAATCTAACTTACTCATGGTTAAATATAAAACCATATAAAATTCAAAGCAATGGCAATTTCATTTCTCCACTGCAGACATCTTGTCATTTATAATTATGTTGCGTTTTTACTTGTCTTTCATTTCAAATTAATTTACATGTTTCTATTCTTGCTTAGTCATTTTGTAATACTATATTTTTAATAATGACGGGTTGAGTTTGAGTCTAAAAAGGGGATGAGTGTAATGTATTAGGTTTTTAATAGAGTAATAGTTACCGCTGTACGGTGGCGCCGCCACCCGGTTCTAGAAGTGAAATAAAAGATGGATATATTATAATTTATGTTTATGTGTATATATGTATATAACATATATATATATAATGTATATATGTGTATGAAAATGTTTGTTGCCATTTTGAATTGTTAGAAGTCATCCATTGCATTGCATGTGGTACCATAATTCAAATGGTAGGTTCATGTGGAGGTTCTATATGCAGTATGTCACCTGACTTGTTGGTTGTTGTTGTTGTTGTTTACAGTGGTGCCATTAAGGAACACACATCAGCTGGATATTATGTGGTCTCTACCTTGTCAGTTGAACCACTACAGGTACCATCTAAAAGAGGAATCGTATCATAGTTGGCCAATTCCAATTGATCATATTAAACTAATGTAGCAATTTTAATATTTGGGATAAACATTGAAATGAAAGGTCAATGGGTCAGGTCCCAGGGCTGGTATAGAGTAGAATAGATGATAGATATAGAGTTGAAATTGTTCCATGATTAGTATTTAGACTGGAATTGTCTAGGATGAATCGTTCTGATAAGAATTATAGTCCTGTAAACTGGTTCATATTGAAATATATCCTAATTTTTAATGTACCTTCACAACAGTTTCGATCACTGTCAGCGATCTTTATCAAGTGACCTACGTCATCATAGGTAGCAGTCGATGATGTAGTATCCGCGTGACGTCACAGGATCTTCGGGGCCCCGCCACGCCCTTCCGAAGATCCTGTGACGTCACCCGGATACTACGTCATCGACTGCTACCTATGATGACGTAGTTCACTTTATAAAGATTGCTGACAGTGATCGAAACTGTTGTGAATTAAGGTACGTTAAAAATTAGGATATATTTCAATATGAACCAGTTTACAGTTATAAACTAAATATCCGATGAATTTATTTCAATTATAGTCCTGATAAGAATTAGTCTGGCAATACAGCTCTGATATGCAGTATTCTATTGATTTAAAATCATGCTCAGCCCATATTTTGCATTTAATTCGAATACTTTAGAAAATAACAGACGAAAGTATACCATGTATACAGGGTTACACCACACTGTACAGGATTTCGTTAAATAGCTAGGCTTGCCGTCTAGAAATGTGGATTCTTCAATTCCGAATGAGATGTGAAATCAATATAAATACCAATAATGTAGCAGATCCTTGTTTCTTATGACCAGTTTTTTGTAGGAAATTATATGACTATAAATTAATAGATAGTACTGGTAGATGCCACTAACCTTGAGGAATGTAATCTCTGTTCTCACAACAATTTCAATTCCGTAGGGCAAAGCCACTGGAATGCCTGTCATGGCTGATAGGACATGAAGGAAAAGGTAGCATTCTCTCGTGCCTCAAGAAAAAGTAAGTACGAGTGCATTTTATTCTGTGACCAATTTTACTTTACCGAATACGGGCCTGCACTGTGCTCGAAATCTCTTGTGTTTAAGGCCACGATTTTTTATTTTGTTGGTTTACAGAATTTTTGTTGTTGTTGTTGACTCGGTAGGGTAAAAAAAAATGTAAAAAAACTGTTGTTTTGTCAGATCAAACAAGTTAAAATACAGTGATACTGTTATACATGATATTAAAGTACTTTAAGAAAACTAAATGAAAACAAAACTCAACTTGTAATTATTTTTACCTTTATTATAAAATATTTGTTTATGAAATGTTTTTGTTTTTTACATTAAAATTTTTTTTATTCATATTTCTTAGAGAAAAGGTCGGCGGGAATAAAAAAAATACAGATTTTTCAATTTTGTTTTGTTTTTCTTGAAAATTTGGGTCGGCGGATCTGTAAACCAACAAAATAAAAAATTCTCGCCTAATGGTAAAAATGTATTCACTGTCATGTTAAATAAAACAAAACATTTTCATTGAACTCTGCCTACAGGCTATGGGGTTCATCACTGTCCAGTGGAAATGATGACAGTGGATTTGAGCACAGCACAACACATGCTATGTTCATGATTACTGTTTCATTGAGTGAAGAGGGCCACCAAAGGTTTCAAGACGTAATACTGCATTCAGTCTGTAGCATAAGATGTAAAATCACAATGTATTTACCAATAACAGCTTGATCACTTCTAACATTACAGCATACCGTATTATTAATTATCATTTTAATTCCCATCCAATGTGTGATGATATAATGGTATAATAGTGCAACGATAGTGCTTTCTATTGTTACTACCTGGTGGTAGTCCAAATAAGTAGAAAATACCAGTGTCAGAGTGTGTGCTCTTATTCTACGAAATATGTCTATTTATAAACACATTCTTGATATGCTATTCTCTAGGTTATAACAGTGATCTTTGAGTATCTTGAGATGCTAAGGCGGGAGGGACCAAAAGAATGGATTTATAACGAAATAAAAACCATAGAGGACAATTCGTTCAGGTTCAAGGAGGAGGTGAGCTATTAGATTGAAAGAAGCAATATTAATGTTCTAATTAGTTTAAACTTTAATTGAATTACATTGTTAAAAATTAAAAATTGTGAATAAATTCTCAAATGCATCGTGGAATTAATCCGCTTTTTGCACGTGTAACACAAGTTACATTGGTTGCAGTTTTGTACACTGACGAGTGACCAGTAACGAAGTCGTTCATGCTGCTTTAGTACAGTAATTGTGTTTACGCTAGTGAATCATGTAAGTAGATTTCCTTGTTGGACGTCTGTAACGATTTAGCTTCACATTAGAGGAATAACGAGTAGTAATGAAAGAGCATTGATTCGGGAATGGAAGAGGGAGCTTTATAAATGGTATGATGTATGAATGAGGGAAACTGCATGCTTGTGCCATGCATGCATTAGGTGTCACCATGTCATAATGCAGTGCTTCTTAAACTGGTGAATGGTTCACCCAAGGGTGAATGTAACTTGCCAAAAACAAGGAAATTTAGTTGGGGATGAATGAAATTTTTTGATAAAGTCTCGAGGGTGAATGACACTGAAATAGTTTAAGAAGCACTGCCATAATAATGAATCGGGGGTAGAAATTAACTTTTGAACAAGCGAGTCCAACGGACTCCCTACCCTTAAAAAGAGAGAGTCCACAGCAAAATGTGGACATCTTCCAAATTTTCTTAGGGTATTTGCTAAAAAAAATACTGTAATTCTGCGAGGCCGTGCTCTGGAACGAACTAGTTAGTATAGCAGAATTTTCAGAGAGTCACACGGATTTCTGCATATATAAAATCAGGGAGTCCGACAGTGAATCAGGGAGTATTTCCGGACTCGCACCCTGATGAATGTTGTGTGTATGTGGCTTTCAGGTGGATCCCATCGAATACGTTCAGCAGCTAGCTAGTAACATGCAGTTCTTTCCTGCCGAACATGTGCTGACCGGCGACCAACTATTCTACGACTACGAGCCACGGGTATTGTAGTAGCAACATTTCTCACTGAGTCTTGTCTGGTTGCATAGTCATATATTGTATAGTTGCAGGGTTCTGCATTTCAGAAAGGATGTCGAGCAATCGAGCAATTCATCCGTGATTGCTAATTCGGGTCAATTACACGTGTTGTACGCGGTGGCAATGTACAGGTAAACTCGGCCAGATCACAGACATACGTATATACATCATTAAGAATTATCAAAATTAAACAGGTCAGGTATTGTGATTTTTGAGTGTTTTTATTGTCACATCGATGCACATCGGTCATCATATCTTCACAGAGCGATCGGGGAAAGTGACTGTCTCAGATTACGTGTTCATTCACTTATTTGTGATTGTATTCATAGGTGATAAGCGATTGCTTGAATTTGCTGACGCCCGACAGAATGTGTGTGATCGTGTCTTCTAAGCAATACGAGCCTGTATGTAATGAAACTGAGCCGTGGTATAAGACTCTGTACCAAGCAGAAGGTGAGAATTATAGTGATTGGGGCAAACCATTTAAAAATAAAATTAAAATTAACAAATAACAGAAATAATACGATTAACAATAACAGAATTATTAAATGACAAAAAATGATAGATATACATGTTTGAACTCATGGAGCTGAACATTTATTTAACTCGATATACATACATTAGCATATTGGGCTAATGATAAAATATCACTGAGTAGTAAGTCTAGAAGTAAAACATGGAATTAACAATGTATGTTATAAGACTTAGCACACATTGCTTCATTATTCATGAACATATTTGCAATGTTTCAGTAATGTGCACATTGTTTAGGTACTGCATGTGTATTGCAGGTATGTTTGTGTATATTATAAACAATGCATCTGACTGTCTGAGTGCATGTGCACATGTGCGTGCATGTGTGTGTGTGCACATACATATATGTATTTATGTATATTGCAGATTTAGACCCATCTTGGTTAACAAAGTGGATGCAATCAGAGCCTCGAAATGAGCTCCATTTGCCAGCCCCGAATCGATTTATGGCTAAAGACTTCACCATTAAAGATCCAGATTGCCCATTGAGTGAGGTATGACATCAACTGAATAATTAAATCAAAGTGTGATTGTTTGAGAAAGTCATTCAAAAAGGATCAGAATAGTGTTTGATTTAAAGCTGTAATGGCTTTTCTGTATGGCTTTTCAGCTATTTTAGTCTACTAGCCAGCCTAGTGAACCTAGAAATGTTGAGTACTATAAGGTTTTATGTTGGAAATGCAATATACAGGTCATAAGGACTCACAAACTGCCGGATGCTAATATAATTGCATATGTGTAGCATTTTGCATAATCGGCTTAATTAGCGTATTAATTAGGTCAAATCACTAAATCAAGAATATTTTCCTTAGTAATTCACATAGAGACTTCATTCGTGTGTCTAGACCCATGTTTTTGACATTAAGCAATTGATCTGGCATGGATTAAAACCCCTACCATCGTTCCGACTGCCAGAAATCCAATATGGCTATACCATGCATAATTAGGTAAACCGTAAAATCGAAAAATAGAGACTTTGTTTTGATGTTTAGGCCCATGTTCTTAACACCAAGGATTCCATCGTCTATAGGACTTATATATTTAACAGTAAGTTATTATTATATATGAAAATGTTAAAGGAATAATATGTCCATTGATTATGCAATGGTGACGAATGCTAGAGTAACTGGCACCTTTTGTAATTAATAAGTACATTACCTTATAGCCGAACGCGTATTAGTTTGTCCAATATCACTGCTGGTTACTAAGAAATGTCTAATTGAAATCCGCAGTCCACTAAATGTTTACAGTTTACAGTTTCACTTTCAAACCGCTGCCGGCGAAGCGGGTGTGATACAGATTTATAGTGCACCGGACATTTTCGCACGCATGCTCGGTCGTACCTAATGCTAGCGATAGTACAGTACCGTAACTGTATACGTAACAGTAGCTCTGATTGTAATGAACGTGGAATCCACGTACGAATCACAGACGCTCTTGATAATGAAGTAGGCTGTGTTGGGGGCCAACACTATGGGGGGATCGCGGACTAACCACGGCCACAGACTAAACATGGAAAGCAGACGGCACTACGCGTATTTACGTATATTGGTCAAACGAATACACCTGTGTCCGAAATTGAAGACATGTGGGTACCCGTTCATTAGCACCCACGGTTATTTACTTGTGCCTCAATACCGAGAATACGCCCAGAGATACATTCTACGAGCTCATTAGTCAAAGCATCCCACGACAAACAATTCTCTGCCCAACACCCGTAGCAACATGTGATGTCACCTAACCGTTTTGAGGCTATTTTGCTTGGCAAACAATTTAGCATTGGCACCATGCAGATTACCAGATTTACGGATTTCAATTAGACATTTCTTAGTAATTAGCAGTGATATTGGACAAACTAATACGCGTTTGGCTATAATTAAGGTAATGTACTTATTAACTACACAAGGTGCCAGTTACTCTAGCATTCGTTAACATTGCATAATCAATGGACCTATTATGCCTTTAAATATTATGATGCAGCTAGATCGTGGAATACATAGATGAACACCCAACACCATCAAACTAGTTACTATTCGCCTTCGTCTTTGTGGTTGTGGTCCTGTCCAGATCCTCTTCTCCTTCCGTCTGATCTTCATATCCTTCTTCAGCATCATCTCGTTGTGTCAGTGAGTTACAACACTCATTTCCTCCTTTACACACACAGTCGCTGGTACATGACAATCCATTTGCTGCACAACCACACTTCCTGCTGCAGGCATTCCCCTCTGCTCGGCAGCTGCAGCTAATGACGTCCATGAGGTTTTTTGGTGCGGTAGGTTCTTTTGACAGCACTGGTACCACTTCATCATAAATTTACAGTAACTTCCCATCCATAGTTAGTGATTTGGACAGCAGGAGGGTCAGCCTTGTCCGCAGCCTTCCATAGCATCATTTGGAGATGTGCTCTCCGGATATGGAGTCCCAGGTTGATGTCTGTTGGTGGAAGGGACTTCACGGATAGAGGATTCTTTCACTTGCGATAAATCTCGTATCTGGAAACATTCATTGACGTGCTTTTCTTCTGGCCATATAAATGTAGAAAGAAGGCTTTGCCAGTTGCCATCAGGTCACTGTCAGGGGCATCGTCCTCTCCAAGAACTGAGTCTAGTCCAGCAATATCGGTCTGGTTGAGCACTTTCAGGGCGGACACTTTCCCTTTCCCATTAGGATAGGACACAGTGTCACAGCCTGAGAGTGCGTGCATTCCCAATATTCCCTTGCATTTCTCCCCGAGCTTGGTGACAGTGGCATTGATGTCAAGCACGGATCCATCCCACTTCTCCATCTGAACATGGCATGATACTCCATCCTTCCAGCACCAGTACATGAGCAGCTCGAATACTTATGTGTCGTCACTAAGGATACACACAGTCCGAGCTCCCACCGATGCAGCACGAAGCATGTAGCTGATGAGAGATACGTCTGCTTCATCATGATGCACAATACTGTTGGCTTCGCTCACAAGTTCAATGTTGCTACCAATATCAAAAAGTGTAAAGGTGAAAAACTAAATTGTCTATAACCTGGAAACGGTATTCGTCCGTCTCCTGATCGTTGGACAAAAGCGGAACCTTGAGTTGTCTGCTGTCTTCCATCATGAGCTGTGCTCTGTTCCTCCATCACTCATCGACGAGTATGGATTCCTCCGAAAGGGAATCAAGTCAGTACTAGTTAAACATCTCAGCATCATCATAAGGAACCCTCTTCCCCCTGACACTCTGCTGGTGGACGCCTCTCAGCTACTTTACCACACTGTCTGGCCATCCTTGGGTACAGTGGGTGATCTTGCTGAAGGAAGGAAATCTTGCCTCATCAACTACAGAGGGGCAGACACATGTCATCTTCGATCGGCATGAAGGTATCAGTGCAAAGGATCACGAGAGGCAGAGGAGAGCCGGGGAAGGATCCACTGCATATCAACTGACTCTGAACTCACCACTAGCTGGTCGTGATGCCATCATGAAAAACAAGAACAACAACAGGCAGCTCTCACAACTACTCTGCACACATGATCTTGGTAGCACCATTGAACTTGTGAGCCAAGCCAACAGTATTGTGCATCATGATGAAGCAGACATATCTCTCATCAGCTACATGCTTCGTGCTGCATCGGTGGGAGCTCGGACTGTGTGCATCCAGTCCTTAGTGATGACACAGATGTATTCGTGCTGCTCGTGTACTGCATGGTGCTGGAAGGATGGAGTATCATGCCATGTTTAGATGGAGAAGTGGGATGGATCCGTGCTTGACATCAATGCCACTGTCACCAAGCTCGGAGAGAAATGCAAGGGAATATTGGGAATGCACGCACTCTCAGGCTGTGACACTATTGTCTATCCTAAGTGCGGAAAGGGAAAGGATGTCCCCCTGAAAGTGCCTCAACCAGACCGATATTGCTGGACTAGACTCAGTTCTTGGAGAGGACGATGCCACTGACAGTGACCTGATGGCAACTGGCAAAGCCTTCTTCCTACATTTATATGGCCAGAAGAAATGCACGCTCAATGAATGCTTCCAGGTACGAGATTATCGCAAGTGAAAGAATCCTCATCGTGAAGTCGCTTCACCAACAAACATCAACCTGGGACTCCATATCCGGGAGCACATCTCCAAATGATGCTATGGAAGGCTGCGGACAGAAGGCCTGACCCTCCTGCTGGTCCAAATCGACTAACTATGGATGGGAGTACTGTAAATGATGAAGTGGCTACCAGTGCCTGTCAAAATAACTACCGCACCAAAACCTCATGGACGTCTATTAGCTGCAGCTGCCGAGCAGAGGGTGATGCTCAGCAGGAAGTGTGGTTGCTGCAGCAAATTGGATTGTCATGTACCAGCTACTGTGGTGTGTGAAGGAGGAAATGAGTGTGTGTAACTCACTGACACAACGACGGATGATGCTTAGAAAGATATGAAGAGCAGAAGGAAGTAGAAGATGGATCTAGAGACTGGAGAGAATAATCACAACCATGAAGGATGAAGGCGATAGTAAGTAGTTGATGGTGTTGGGTGTTTATCTATGTATTCCATGATCTAGCCTGCATCATAATATTTAACATTTTTTATTAATAATAACTTACTGTTAAATATATAAGTTCTATAGATGATGGAATCCTTGCTAGTGTATACCTCCCATTATGCATGGCGCCATATGCATTTCTGGCAGTGGAAGCGATGGTAGGGGTTTGATGCTCATGCCAGATCCGAATTGGGGTTAGCCGCTAAACAGTTACCGCTGGAGGCAGGCCACATCTGCAGAGGTGAAGAATTATCCGCGTACCCAGATGCGAACCCGCGTACTTAAGAGTGGGGCGGGGGAGTGCGGGTTTATTTTTGCTGTGGTGTGGCTGATGGAGTTATTAATATGTTTATGAGCGATTCACGGTGATAGTAGTGGGTGATGATGTGCAAGTGGGTGTTTCTCTTTCTTGTGTTATGCTGAGGCAGTTAGGTATATCCGACCGGCCCTCATCTTCCGTTATGTAGATTCCTGTATGTATGTAGTAAGGTACAGTGTGTCCATGACCTGCCAAAAGCCCCTACTGTCGTAACACGAACCTATATTTCGCGCTGACAATGATATATGCGTGAGTGCGTGGGGTGTGCACGGACGTGCATTTGTGCTGTGCGTGCGCTGATGGTCCATTCACGTACCGTGCATGCGTGCGTGTGTGCGTGGGGTGTCGCCGGTCCACGGTGGTGATGCGTGCCGGCTGTAACAGTACATGTGCGTGGTCTCACGTCGTGCCGGGTGTGCACGTACTCCAGTGCGTGCATCGGTAGCGTGGCCGTGCGTGTGTACGTACAGTGCGTGCATGCGTATGTGTGTGCTGCGTGCCGTGTGTACGCCGCACGTACAGGTGCGTGCATGCGTGCGTATGTACGTGCGTACGTGCGGTGTCACGTACACAGTCGTCCGTACGTGCGTGTCGTGTGGTCATACACGTAGCGCTGCATGCGTGCGTGGTGGGGTGTGCCTGCACCGTGGCGTCGTGGCACGTCTAGTGGCGTGCGCTGTGTGCCGTGCGTGTGCACGATATCGTGCGTGCATGCACGTGGTTGTGGTGCGGGTTTTGGTGTGAACGTACTCTGTGCGTGCATGCGTTGCGGTGTGGCGTCGCGTGCGTATACGTGCACTGCTATTGCGTGTGTGCCCGGACTGCGTGCATCGCGTATGTGTTGTGCTTCGTGCAGTGAGTATGCACGCTACAGTGTGCGTGCATGCGTGCAGTATGTACGATGCGTGCGTGCGTGCTTGCACGTAACACTCACTAGCGTAGCATGCTGTGCATCCGTGCGTGCGTTTAGCAGCGTACACGTATGTGCGTGCTGCGTGGTGTACCGTGCGTACACATGCGTGCATGCGCTGCGTGTGTGCGTGTAAACGTGCATGTGTGTGGTGCGTGTGCGTGTAGGTCATACATGTACGTGCGTGTGGTGCGTCGCGCTGTTGCAGTTACACGCGTGTGCCCATGCCGTGCGTGCGGTTGCACGGTCCACGTGATATACGTGTATGGCGTGCGTGCGTGCGTGCGTGCGTGCGTAGGCACGTACATGTGGCGCACGTACAAGTGGTTGGTGCGTGCGTGTGTGCCGTGCGTGCGTGCGTGGCGTGGGTGCGTGCGATGACGTACGTGTGTGCTTGCGTCCATATGTGAAGTGGTCGTGTTTTTATTCTTTTGTAAGTGTGATGAGGCATTAATGGTAATCAATGTTTTATTGAGTATCCGTGATATTCAGCTGCCGTGCATATGTGATGGTGTTTTATTCTTATTGCGTGTGCTCAGGACGTTATGTAATATGTTTTTTATTGAGATTGCACCACGGTGATACTTAGTGGTGCATATGTGAAGTGCGGGTGTTGTATTCTTTTTGCGCTTGCTGCTCAGGAGTTACTGTAATATGTTTATTGAGACTCAGCTACAAGAACTCAAGTCTGCCAATAGACAAATTATGTATATTCTGTATTTCTTAATAAGCAGTCCACTTTATTACAGAACACTAGGCATTACTGCTCGACAATAGCCTCGCCTAAGTTGGAAATTATAAAGCACCACGTTTAACAATTTTCACCAAGAGAAATCTTCCTGATGCGCGCAGTCTCTTTTTAAATTTTTTCATATGTCCTTCGCTTAGACCAATGACCTCTCTACATGAATCTCTTAGATGCCGATTATACGTCTATCCTAACAAACTGTCTTCTGCATTTACAGTTGGGATTTTCGCTTGAGCATTGACGGCGTCGTTTACATGCATCGCTCTCCTTACTAGCAAACCGATCCTGGAACCATAATTCCTCTATCGTGACATGATGCCTGTTCACTCCCTGTCAAACATAGCACATACTACATAGCTCATAGACCTCTGCAATAATTTGATCGCGGTCACTGCGGCGCTACCACTCATAAGCTATCACTGACTAAAGCTAACAGCTCTTGGGCACACAGCCGATGCATCGTTTTAAACCCGTGTTCTTGTTTTGTAGCGTAGAGAATAATTGTAAATTTTTCGTGGATTTTCTCAACTATCTCACAGCAACTCCCTCCATTTGTAGTTTCAGATTCGGGTTCGCTGGAAACTATATGACCAGCTTTAGCCGACTTACAACCAGGAACACAACAGTACGAAGGCCTTTTAACTTGGTTATATCGCTATGATTCCTGTATCTTTACAACTGACTCGTTCGTTGCGCAATCGTTGTAACACCTCTAACTCCCGCTGCGCCACCTGGCGGAAAAGCTAGCGGCTAACCCCATTGCTTAGTGTCGAAAACATATGGGTCTAGACACACGAATAAAGTCTCTATGTGGATTACTAAGGAAGATATTCTTGATTTAGTGATTTGACCTAATTAATATGCTAATTAGGCCGATTATGCAAGATGCTACACATGCAAATTAGCATCCGGCAGTTTCTGAGTCCTTATGACCTGTTTATTGCATTTCCAACATAAAACCTTATAGTACTCAACATTTCTAGGTTCAATAAAGAACACATAGGGGTGGCTAGTGGACTATTTACTAACACTGTGATGATAAAAGTGTTTGCTTGCAAGTTTGTAACTGATATTGTATGTATATGTATGTATATGTGAGTGCATGCGTGCGTGGGTGCGTGCGTGCGTATGTTTTTATTTATTTAATTATATATTACATATATATATATATATATATTATATATTATATATTATATGTGTCATGCGTCTACATCCTCTTCTAATCTTCTAGTCATGTCAGTAAGTTGTTACACAGCAGATTCAACCAATTGTTATCAGTGTTAGAGCAACTTCTGGTTTCATTATGTTTGACACAGAACTATAATATGTAATTTTTATAGGAACCAGTAATGATAACAGATAGCCCATGTAATCGACTATGGTATAAGAAGGACACCAAGTTCAACGTTCCAAAGGGTTACACTAAATTTCGCCTTGCATCACCACTACCAAACTCAACCCCAATCAGGTATTGTTGTATAGGATAAATACTGATGTATTGCCTTTAGAAATAAAAATTGCCTAAGGTGCTAAATACCCACTCATCTGACTATAATACTTGGGCCTTCAAATGCATTAAGAAATCATTTATCACCTGAATGTGTACATTACTAGGTTTCAATCCTTGATTTATATCCCGCATGTTTATATTAAATTAAGTTGTGTTAATATTTCTTGTGACTGTAGCTCTCTATGTTTTTCAGTCTGGCCTGCATGGATCTCTTCATCCACGTTATTGAACACAATCTGAATGAGGTAGCTTATGCTGCTTATGCTGCCGACTTGTCCTACTCCATCAGAGGTCTTCCAACCGGCGTCATCATCAAGATTGATGGATTTAACCACACACTACCGGTACTGCTTTACTAGTCGAAAGCAGCCAAGTATAGTGTTATGCTAATACTAGATGAATTCTTGGTATTGAGTTAGTATGTATACCTCTATATGCAATCTCAGTTAGCAAAACTAATCGTTTGTCGAGCAGATCATCTCATTAAGTGTTTGAGGCAGAGACCACACTTCTCTCTATTTATTCTATGTGGTAATTGCCTATCGTAATGCTCTACACTACAATAGTACAATCTGGTTCTTTAAGTGATCGTGCCTATGCCTGGTTTGGTTGGCTTCACCGCGATGGTAACACACTGCCACCATAAATCTACTTGTGCTGTAACGCCACCTCTATCTTTATAATTTAGTATTACTACGTATGTTCCAGTTGCTGTTTGACACAGTGGTGGGCCACATTGCCGAGTTTGACTGCACTGAAGAGTTGTTCACTCTTGTTAGAAATCTCGTGAAGAAAATGTACACAAATATCATCATAAAACCTGAAAAAATGAACAGGTGAGAACATAAATATATTGGGCAATGTATGATATGCATTCCATACTATTTTATTCCAGAAGAAATCTCCATTTTTAGCTCACCTTGACATCGTCAAGATGAGCTATTGCTATGGGGTGTCGTTCGTCGTACGTCCGTCCGTCTGTTTGTCCGTCAACATTGGCTACAGTATATAACATATAACATATATTGGCTACGGTCAACGATAACTTGAGAACCATTTGACCCACATGTTTCAAATTGCATACAGTTGTTACTCCTATGGGAAAGATGTGAACGTCCTATTTTGGAATACGTCAGGTGACTTACTTTTGAGCCACGCTCGCTTTTTGTCAAAATGAAAATGGCCATCTAGATTCATTCGATTTTGTTAAATTTACCTACCTACCTATACCTACCTAATCATACCTACGTGTAATATTGTGTTTAAGATTCTTTATTACAGTAATTTGACTGGAATATTTTATTGCTGTTATTTGCGCGATAATCGAAAACCAAAATGGCGATCATTTAGGCGTAGCGCCATCTCTCGCCCAGATTTCAGACTTTCAGATCTGAAACATTTATTTTCGCATCAAAACTAACCCTGAAACAAAACAGTGAAATTTCTATTAGTATAAAACGGGGAATAAGGACATTTGATCACATTTTGGTCCGTCATAAATGAAACACTTACCAAATTTTAAATCTATCATCTCCCTCTTCTATCACACCCAATGTGAGCTATAGTGTCATTGACACTTTCATTTCATGTTGTTAATGGTTTTCCCATTCTTCTAATGTTTGGTTAATTTTTTAATTCTAACATGTTACCTCTGGTTGTAAAATTTGAAAATGGTGACTAAATGGGACCATGCCTCCTGCATCTTTAAAAAAATAAAAACTGCATCATTACTCATACTGACTTGTGTAAAGAACACAAATAGCAAAATGTTTTTCTCTCAGTGTTCCTAGCTGCCATCATTTTAGTAGCAGTTATAATCTGCATGTTTATATAATTTACATAAATAAAATTGGGCTTTTTTTTTGGATGTCTGCCGGGAAAATTAAGACACTGTCCGCTTGGCTATTAATTGTGGTATGTATGTATGTTATCCATTTGGTTTTTATCCCGCAGAGAGCTAAGGCTTCAGATCCTAGAAGAGACAAGATGGACGCCTGTCGACAGACTGGGTGTGATAGATCACATCACCAGAGATGACCTGCTCAACTTTGTAGCTAACTTCAAACAGACGATCTGTATTGAGGGACTCGTACAGGGCAACTTTACCAGTGCAGTAAGTCATCTAAATATCCACAGGGAAAACTGCCTGCATTTCAACTCTCGAGTCAATCTTCGGTTGAACTGAATGCAAGCTGACTATTGTTATATAGACGATACACAACAGACAGCTAGAGTGTATAGTAGCTGCTCGATTCCCCAATTAACATATAGTAATAGAATATATAAAATATAGCACCATACTTTACCAGGAAGCTCGAGATTTCCTTGTCAAGATTAGGACCAGGCTAGACTGTGCACCCTTGCTGCAAGGCGTGTACCCAGAGATACGTGTGATGACACTACCGCTGGGAGAGAGATATTGTGCTGTGAAGAGCTTTACTGAGCAGAACAACGTTAACACAGACGTTGTTAGCTACTTCCAGGATGGAGTAGGGGACTGTCAAAAACTCACTCTGATGAACATCGTCTGTGTAGGTTTTTTTACTATTATGTAATAATAAGTACAGGCATTTTAAATACACTTTACAAAAGCTAGCTGTTTCGTTGCCGTTTTAAACAAAGAACGTAGCATAGTGTGAAAGGTTTCTGCAATGAAGATTGTAATTGTATAATATATTAATTGAAAGAAATGTGTAGAATGCAAAGGATGGCATATAACTTCCAGCACCCAGGCACAGACCTTGCACTTATAATATAGATTCAACTTAGTTTGCGAGTCAGGTGTCACTAAATAAGAAGGACTGGTGTTTGCTTATTGTAATTGTAATCAGGTAAGAGGAGATTTAGGCTCAATTAAATTGCAGGAATATCTGCAAGAGCCATGCTTTGATGAGTTGAGGACTAGGCAGCAACTTGGTTATGATGTACATATCCAGTACACGAACACCAATGGAATCGTAGGCTTTTATGTCTATGTGGAAACACAGGCGGACAAGTTCAGGTAAGAGAGCATGTGAACGTGTGACATTGCTGAGCTAATGTATGCATAACTGGAAGACCACATGAATTCCTGATGCATCTAACCATTGTTTAACCTGATAATGTGCATGGCAGCAGTTCGTTGCTTACAAATGCAAGTTTTTTTTTTTAATTATATATGGAGAGAACCATGAACATATGTATATCTCATATGTTCACGAGATATACATTATGAGATATATCATATACTTCAAGAGGTATACATATGTTCATGATAGAACCGATGCCTAGAGTCGAAGTTTCGAAGTCTAGTAAGTGTCGAATGTTATCTTGAATCTTGCAGTGCAGACCATGTGACTAAGCAAATAGATGCGTTCCTACACAAGTATAGCAACAAACTGAAACACCTGAGCATCAAGGATTTTGGAAAACTTGTAAGTTTATTATTCATCAGTTAATATTGTCGTATTTTGTAATCATATTGTTCTTGCCTGTTACTTCAACGTTTCTAAACATGTAGAATTACCCCCATTAATAGGTTGGTTCATGTATCATTTCATGTTGAGTTATTGATTACAGTAATTTAATGTAAAATATGCTTTATAATATAACATGAGCTTTACCACTGCCTTAATTATTCACAGGCCAGCTGCGTCATTATACTGTAAGCATCTCATGTGAATCAAAATGTGTGAAAGTTAACCTGTTGAGTGATTGTGGATATAGGAGTATTATGCTATAATGGTGGTTATATCCATTTTGCCCCTGCAGAAGCATGCGTTGATCGTGTCACGCCAGATCGCTGACAATCACATGGGAGAAGAAGTGGACAGACACTGGTCAGAGATCGGAAATAGGACCTACGTCTTTGACAGGCTTGAGTGCGAGGTACCTTTGTTGCAGGCATTATACGACTGCTTTCTACGTAGTTGAGAGGAAGTGTGTGGCAGTATCAGTGCACAACCCTATGCCAATAATTGTCACTGAGTGCCAGGGCTGCCAACATTGGGTGATAGGTGAGAGTGAGATGCGCGGGAGCGAAGCGACCAAGCGGGGGGTGAGTGTGGGACGGTAGGGAGCTTTTGCATTTTATAACTTCAATTTGTGCAATTTGGTGCATACTAAAGTGACTGTTTTCAGATATTGTAAGATTTTTTTTTCTGTGCGTGAGATATTTCAGCGTTTTATTCATGAAGAGATATTCATGCGTGAGATATCTCAGCATTTTTTTGCTGTGCGTGAGATATTGTAAGATCAGCGTGAGAGCGTGAGATTTGGTCAAAATGCGTGAGTCTCACGGTCAATGCGTGAGAGTTGGCAGCCCTGGAGTGCTGAAATCCTTCACATACAGACATATATTAGGTGTTGCAAAATATAAAATATTGGCGCAACATTATCAGTTCCAGTTTCTTGTTTCAACTAGTGCTTGGCTGAGTGGTGTTTTACATAATTGTTTATCTTCTTTGCTTAATGCACTGTGCAAATAATAAATGTAAACATAATGATGTCCTGAATCGCCTCCAATCTGATAACAGGTGAGATGTCTCAGAGCAGCAACCCTGAAGCATGTGCAGGACTATTTCCATCAGGTGGTCTTAGAAAACAGAAGGAAACTCGTAGTGCAGGTAATGGCAAAAATGCGAGTTGGCAATCGTAAATAAAACTAAAACAAATACGTTGGAACTGCAAGTTGCAGCACAGTCATTTTCATCATATATAATGGAGGCCGTCTAGTGCTTGGAAAATTGGGCTTTTTATTTGCTGATTATACTATTTAGCAATACAGGCCTAGCTAGCACTGAACTGTAAATGTAATAAAAGAGCTACAGCTGTATAGACTACCTAATGTAAATCAAACACGAAATGGCTGCTCTATGCAGAGCCACCCACTTATGCTAGCTGACGTGTTGTTTTCTTAATCCACAGGTGATTGGATGTGGTCCAAAAGAGAGAGGTGTTGTCATCTCTGACCAGGTAAAACCAGAAAGTGTTAAAATTCGTAACATTAAAAAGTAAAAATTAGACCCTGCTATGTCCGTGAACCTGCCTACAGTAAACTTGCAAGTAGCCAGCTACCCTGATAGTTTTCATCTGCTAATACTCTGAGGTTTATCGATCATATATCAAGAGTCGGTTAACGTATGTTAATTAATGAGCTCTTGATCTTGCATTATTGGTAATATCTTTAATGGATGGACACCAGATGTCACCTGCACAATAGAGTGCAAGCGGAATTTATGACCACTCATTATGGCCCTCTCATTTATATTGCTAGATAACGGTGATAATGTATATGTATGAATGTGTTGATTATTTGTTTCAGGCTAGGGAACCATGTCCGAAAGAAGGTGGTGAAATCTGTGCGCAGGATATGTCGAGGCTCACATTTCTCGGTCATCACGGGTCTACTGTCAATCAAGAGAAATACATCAAAAATATCACCGACTTCAAAAATGATCTGTATGTCTACCCCGTTGTTAAAATTCTACGATAGTAGCAATCGTGTAGCTTAATTAGGAAATGATCCCGATCGAAGGTGAAGTTTTGTGCAGTCTCTTGCTTGGTGCGTTCGTGATGATGTCAAATTGCAGTTTAATCATAATTTACATAATAATTTTTATAGGTAAGCTGCCGTGCATGTGTTCCTCCTGTGTGCTATATGAGATTATAGTCCCAGTGTCATAAGTATACCACTGGGGAGAAATTTTGGTGGGTAATTGAGGCAATCAGACAATTATGAAACGGGAGTGATCCGCTATATAGTGTCCATATTATCAGTCAAGGCCATGCTACTGTAGATGAAATATAAACTCCCACACTAGTGGCACTCTGGCTCTATATTATTTTAACATCCGATTATCATTATTAGAATGCTCGGTTTCCGTCGTTTTCATCCAATTCCATTCGTGGGTTGGCATTGCATTCTGAAATTTAAACATAGGTATGCGTGCGCAGAGCCTGTGTATATATATATATATA